TAAAAACTTAGCTGGCTCACACAAATGTGTTATATGCATATTAAAAACATATATGCCGACGTGCACGGTGCAGTGCCAGTTAGCGTTGCATTCATGCTATGAGCGGAAGATATGACTGCTCTAGATAGCAGTCCTGTGGTCTGCTCGTCATTCTGATGGTAAATTGACACTATTACACGCCAACAGGTCACCTTCAGCATGCTAGAAAACAATCTGAAGGAAGGAGACATTGGCAGTTCTACCAGCGGGTTGCTGCTATTAGCACATGCTACCAGTTGGGCTACTGCCGTGCGCCTCCTCCTCTTAGAGGGAGTAAATTGTAAATGAGCCTTGACTTTGCGAAAGGCGAAATATATGTGCGAAAAAGAATGAAATATTACATTGAGAACATGTATCGTTCATTTTTGCGCGCCAAACTCTCGGCGGTATAACCCATTAAATTTTTCACACGAAATGCTTCGATGCACCATTTCCTTGAAAGCTGTTCAGCGAGAAAATTCAGCAACGATGACTGTGAATACATTGCTGCATACATCAATGCTGTATTGCCTATTTTATCGGCAGCAGTAAGATCCACGTTTTGCTGAAGCAGTACTTGTAACGGTAACAACTTTTCATTAGTTCAAGAAAAATAAAATTCGGCTACAGTTCTGGCAGCGAAAGCTCTAAGTGTCAATTTATCACCTAGAACAGACAAAAGTTCGCAAAAGATTTATTTTGTAACGAACACGGATAAGATGATATGCAACTGTATCGTTCCTCATCAAGCAAGCTAGCATTAGTGGAGTACGCAGCTGTCGTTCATCCGGCTCTGACGGATCACATCCAGAACGGATTAATAAATTTATATATCTTACCTGCAATTTTTTAATTCTCGAAATGCAGCATTATGTCTAATTACTTTCTGGTGCCATCTATACACATGAGATGCAAAAGTTATTATAGTTACTATCAAAATCAAATGCGTCTAGCTAGATGAGCGAATTTTTACAAGACTGAAAAGATCGTTTACTCACAAAATGAAGTCCCTGTGAGGCACAACTTCTCAGTAAGCACAGTTAAAGCTAAAAAAGTTTAACTTTTTTTGAAAGGGAACGCAGGGGGGTAAAAAAGTAAAAAGACTGTGTCAGGATAAAGAAGAAAGAGAAAGGGGGGAGCACTTTCAGCACTCATTTGGTAAACCACTGCAGCAATTTTACGAACCTGGTTTGCCTTGTCTGGTTCATACCTTATCACAGACATAATCAAAGTTTCACCGCGAATATTTTTTTCTTTCGCATTAAAATCCACAAAACTCTTTTCTAACTTCTGTGGTAACTGCTCGCACTCTGTTCTCTAAAAAAAAAATGAGATGCGCGAATATGTTGACACAGTCGCAATGAAAAACATGTTATAACTGTGAAA